CAAAGATGCAGTCATCACCACAAATGACCGTAGTGCTACCAGTGCCTCATGTGGAACCGGGGACTATCTAATCCCAGCTCTAATTGGGCGTTGTGATACGACGGAGCGATTTTAGAGACGTTTTCATGCCCCACTGCTATCTATAGCCCCCCTAGGAGACCCCACAGGCAGCCACTGAGTCAGAAGCGCTTTGCCTGCTTGCCTTATTCATACCAAACCCAATCAGCCAAATCGGTCAACAAATTATCCAATCAGAACACATGGCTGAGCACCTCTCCGGCAAACTGACTTGAGGAAATGGACAAAGACCAGGCCACGCGACACAGATAAGAAGCCGCGAGCTCGCCAGCGCACCAAGAAGGCACATCTTCTGTGTTTCTGAGCGCAGAGTGAGATGAAAACAAGTTTGATTACAGCGGGCTGGTACAGCCAAGATGGGGCTGTTAGTGCTCCTCTCATTCCTTCCTTCCTTCATCCCTCCTTCACGCTTGAAGTCGTCACCCCAGGGATGCATCTTTACGGATTCAGACACGCGTCTTTATCATTTTATGTGCGACGAAAACACAGATATATAACCTTACGGGTTTGGACGAGGCCTACGAATACAAATAGCGGCAGGAGGCCAAACTGAAAAGAATTAATTGTGAAGGTACTTTCCTTTTAATTGAGTGTTCAGGACCCCAAAGCCCATATCCGACTACCAAGAGAGAAAACGCTTAAAGCACTCACACACATGTGAATTGATTGGGAAAAGTCACAAGGGATGCGCTTTTTTCGTTTTTAGTCGCTCATAAAACCGCTTTGCTCTCAACATCAGACACATTGCTGAGACGCCAAGCAACTAATTCTTTACATTTGATGCTTCCTTTACTTTCAAAATGGATTGCAGCAGAGGCTGAGATGAGTTTACATGATGCATTTTAGTTACATCCAAACTGTGGCATTTTATAGCCATTATTCTCAAGAGAACATATGCATCAGTTCTGATCGCCTGAGTCACTGCATGATTCCACAATGCATAGCTAGAAGGCCAAATGAGAGTGTATGCTTTGATGAGAGTGTAAATAAATGGGCTTTATGATCCGCTGAAAGCACACAGTAAGTGTTTTGATGAACAGTATTTTATCATCAGTCTGTGCCGCTGACCAATGCAGAGCCTTTAAAAGCAACACCAGCTGAGGACAAAAGGGTGAGGAGGGCTGCAGAGGGTCGAGAAAAGAAATTCACATATCAAGTAGACGCTTGGAAAGCCAAAGAGCAAGAGGGAAGGATGCCGAATGAAAATTAGCACTTAAGGGTTGATGACAAAGCCTGTCACCTCCGAGTTTCTCCATCTCCAGCCATCCTCTCTCCTCCCTCAGCCTGATGAACTGTCGAACGTGTGTATGTGACATGAATGTGTATGCGTGCACGACACAGAAGCGGATGTGTGTTCCTGTGAGCACGCATGTGAGTCTCCTCTCATGAGCCAGTCGGTGAGTGTGTAAATGGCATGTGTGAGAGATGAAGAGAGAGAGGGAGGGAAGACATATGAGAACAGACAGATGGAATAACAGTGTCTACACTGGACACGAGCAGCAAAACATAATCGCTCCCATTATAATCAATGACAGCTTCAGTTGCATTACCCCGCAAGTTTAAGTATGCCCTATTATATTTTTGACGCACTGCAGAGCTACTCTAATCCCATTTTTCCTTCTCATCTGAAAATAAATATATAGTATTGAACTCACAAATATAATGTGTGTAAACAGACAACACATTTTTATAGTAAAGTTTTAACAAAACAACAACACAATAACTTAACGTTTGTTTCACTTTAATGCCTCATTAAATCAGTCATAATTCCTTTGATCAATCCACCCCATAATTGGACAACTGCGCTAATTCCAGAGCCAATGCATGCAAAAGATTGATCAGAATAAACTGCACATCTTAAGTTTAAGTTTAAAAGATGTCATTAAATAAAATTAATAATAAATATAATGAAAAATAAAAAAATAAAAAAATAAATGTAATTGGATTCAAAACAATTATTTTAAAAATTAAATAGAAATACAACTAAATGTAAAAATATTAATTAAAATATTATACTTCTGTTATGTTGATTCTGCATTAAATCACTGTCAGTTAACAGCCTTTTAGTGAACATTCATTCATGTCATGCAGCGCATACTGTGACACATCAAAATTAAATCATTCCCATTATAATAAATTAAGTTGACTATACTGCACAGATGCTACAGTCGTTTTATTTTCCTAGTCTGCCTAAAATAAAATGATTTTTTTTTCTACAAATATAATTTGATCATTTAAATAACTTCTGATCATTACTTGTGATCAATGACAACTTCTGACTTTTGAATAAGTTTTAAACAGTATTGTAGCTTTACTCTTTAGCTACTGTACACTACCGTTTAAAAGTTTAGGGTCAGTTTTTTCTTTCTTTTTTATTATTAATCGATTTCGCCAAATACAAACAAAACAAAACAATTCAATAGTGTAAATATTCAAATGTTTAATGTCTTCACTGTTGCTTAAGTTTAGCTCACAGCTGATTAGTACTGAACATTGTTGACATGCAGCTTCAACACTTCCAGTGTAGACAGAATGTAATAGATGACTTAAAGGTGTGAGTGGGCACACAGACACACACACAGGCAAACACACACTCCCATAAATAAAACTGATTCCATTCTTGGAGCAGAGTTAAGCTGTCCCTTTTCTCGTGTCACCATCACCTCTCCACTCCTTCCCATCTCCGTCTCCCCGTCAGCCTTTGTTTTTTTTTTTTTTTTTTAGCTTTCTTGCTCGGTCTGTGGACAAATTATGGTGATTATCATTTAGTTTCTCTATTCTTAAACTCCCTCTCTTCTTTTGCTATCTTTGCTTTTTCCATCTTTCCTCAATCTCCTCGTTTCCCCTCTCCTTCTCTTTTGTACTTTCGCTCTTCATCTGTAACCAGCAGACACTCAGGGGAAATAAATTAGTAATATTTATGATGAACCCTTCTCAGTATCGTTTCTTCCCATCTCGTCGCCTCATAAAAAAGACACTGATCTTAACAGGCGTACCTATGTAGTCATCCGTCAAACAATCTACCCATCCATCACGGGCACAGTGCACTGCTCTGCTCCTCTCGGATGCCCAACACGGCAGCCAAGGCTGTTAAAACTACATAAACCAGCTCAACTCCCCCTGCACCCGAGTCTGCATCTATTATACCGAGGGATGCATCAGCCTCGGCGCTCCCCGCAACATTCTTCAAACGTAATTGCAATGGTCAAAACAGCTCCCAAAACGCCTGTAATTTGTCTGCATTTATCTGAAGCGAACTCCCGGAGAGATTTCTAAATCGGCTTCCAAATATGAGGAGATTTACCGAACCTTGCCTAGTGAACCTGAACATCTACCTGGGTGAGACTTTGATATATTTTCCCCACACATCTTCAGATAATCTCACCCCAGTAAAAAAAAAAAATGAGAATGTGAAGGGCAGAGCTGACGCTGGGAGAGAAAGGGCCCTGCTTTGACCGTACTAATAAAGGGCTGGTATGTAATTGAGCAGAACTGGAGGGAGGCTGCGTTTGATAGTGTTAACACTACGCAGGGACAGTTAAACAGCTGACGGTGAGCACTAGATATAGCTCTTTCTTATAACTAGCTCTGTATTATAACTTTCTTATAACTTCATCTCTCCTGTTTCCCATTCTTGGAAATAGCTGGTTTTTATGCACCAACCAGGTTGTATACACGATCAATTCTCAAACCCATTTAGGAAAACAAAATAATATAAGCCAAATGTTTTGGGAGTTTGCCACTCTTGTTGATGGAAACAGTAGGGAGGGGGCGGGAAAATGGAACAGTGATAAGATTCAAACTGTGTCCACTACACAAGCTACACATGCACTAACGTCTAGGCCATTCTATTATGCATTTAAATTTACCATGGTAACCACAGTATCCTTAAAAATACCAAAGAATTATAAGATCATGTGGGTTGTACTTTAAAGAGTATGTGATTAACTTGTTTTTGATTACAATATTAACCTACCAACCCAATCTCATGAGAAGCTGTGGGAATTCGGAAGAATTCACACACACACACACACACACACACACGTTTACTTAGCTATCTAAATGGGGACATTACATAGACTTCTATTGTTTTTAATATACAGATATTTATACACTTTTTAACCTAAATCCACCCCTACCCCTAACCCGCAGAAAACTTTCTGCATTTTTACAATTTCAAAAAAACTTTGTTTACTTTATTTTTATACCAGTTTTACAAATGAGTATGTCCCAAATGGAGGTTTTTGGCGATTTTGTCAGGTTTTGCTCACTTTTTGGTACAAATTTGTCCCCAAAATATAGTTAAGTAGGTACACACATACACACACACACACACACACAGACAGACAAATAATGCAAACTTAACCCAACCTTTAAACCTAATTGTAATAATAAAAAAACCTATAAAAACTCTAAAGAAGATCCATGTTGTACGATTTCACCATCTCTTATAAATTATTAAGAGTTGTCATGAAAGTGTGATATGATTTGTCATCACTTTCCTCTGGAATTTTTAATGTGTTTTTAGAATAGCACTTTATCAGCAGCATTTTCAGCAGTCATTACTTCAGTCTTCATGTCACATGATCCTAAAAATCATTCTAAAATGCTGATTTGGTGCTCAAAAAACATAAAAAAAGAAATGTGCATGCCTTTGTGTAATTTATGTCGTAGAACAAAAAGTGAAAGTTAGTTTAGACCTTATTTCACAAACCAAAATCTATTATTCCAAAAACTCCTGTGGGAACCCATGGATATAAAAAAAAAAAAAAAAAAAGTTATTCTCTTGCGGGTTGTAGGAATACAAATGGTTCTACATGGGATGTACTTCAAAAAGGCTTTTATTGTACAAACCATGGTAATTTAACTATGGTAAACTTCTGTAATGGATCTGCATAGACATTATGTGGAAATTTACTCACTTTGTACGAAGTGAGGAGGATTGTCATTGACATCCGTCAATCGTACAGTAACTGTTGTCGTTCCTGACAAACCGCCAAGATGGCCACCCATGTCTTTAGCTAGCAGGACCACTAGATACTGATCCTGCACTTCTCTATCTAGATCTGGAACTGCAGTACGCAGGATGCCTGAGGGAGAAAGAGAGACAAAGAGAGAAGCACATCACAAATTCAATCATCTCCTTGAATCAAATCATTTCCATGTGTTCTCTGACCACAAACTTGTAGAAACGCATCCCAGCGGACAAGGTCATCCGCGAGAAACTCCTACCATAGGAAAACAGTCTACTGTACAATGGAGGTTTATTAAAATGTCACAAGGAAATTTAACTGTGGATACATGCTGTGGATAGGAAGAGACCTTTTAGAATGCTATGGCTAAGAATGCTAATTCTCGCTAATGAGTAAAAAAGAATGCCATGTAATGCATATAGGACAGAATTAGGTTAATATCCTTGATTAGCATTCACAAACCTCCAGGAGAAAAAGCCCTCTCATTCATATTAGTGTGTGGTCCACAAATGTCAACAAAATTAATTAGGTTTCATTAGACGGCCAAATGTAATCAAAACATGAAGGAAGTCCATTATCCACACAGACAGAGACACAATGCACTTCTACACAAACATTCGCACAATGGATCTGTGCAAGCAGTAAAATTAATCTTTCACTTTCTCACTCCTTCTCCCTGCCTCATTCTTTCTAGCCTGTCATATACACAAATACCCATCATTCTACTCACAACCTTTACACTCACACATAGTGACTGGCCACACAGTCCCACTGTGTGTAGAATCGCACTGTGCTCACTTCACTTCTGCCAATTCCACTCTACAACACAAAGAAGCAGGAGTGATTTATCAAATGACTACAGCCCCCCTGTAACCGTGAATAAAAGCCTCTCGCAAGCCTCCGGGTCACAAACCAGACCCTCCGACAGGCACAGAGGCAGAAGGCAGAGGCCGGGCCGTTGTGTCATTTAAGCTTGCCATTTAAAGGAAAAGTTCACCCAGAAATTCTGTCATAATTTACTCGCCCCCATGTCCTTCCGAACCCATATGCTGTTTTATTCTGTGGAGATATTTTAAGACTCTTTATGCAGCTACACTACCATTCAAAAATTTGGGGCCGGTTTTTTTATGTTTTTGAAAGAGATCACTTATGCTCACCAAGGCTGCATTTATTTTATCAAAACTACAATAAATAATGTGAAATATTATTACAAATTAAAATAAAATACAATATTAATATATTTTAAAATGTAATACATTCCTGTGATGGAAAACCTGAAATTTCAGCAGCCATTACTCCCTAATTACTGACCCTAAACTTTTGAATGGTAGTATATATAATTAATGACACTAAAAAGTTGTATAAAAATAGCCCATAAGACATGAAGTCATACAACATCATTAAGTGTGAAACAATTATGAACAATTATTGAATGTTGCTTCAAACAATAAAGTAACAAATATAATTTGTTCCTAAAGAAGAAAACACAGACGAAACCAAATCTAAAAAAAAAACATAAAAGTCGGCACACCATAATTAACCATAAGCCATAATTAATAATGGACTTCACACAAGGTCCTAAAGAAGAAAGCCAATTTCACTCACTAAACACTGTATATAACCCAAAGTAACAATTTATCATAAATTAAATATGTTAAAATTATCCTTGAATTTGGAAGCAGATGCAGGCTAGATATAAGCTTTGGTGGCGTCAATGAATAATGACTTGCAAATCTCATGCAAAGCTATCATATGACTTCAGAAGACTTGGAATATGACACACAAGTCATATGGACTACTTTTTATGCTGCTTTTATGGTGATCTTTTTAAAGTTTGGTCACTGAATTGTTATTATATGGCAAGAGCTGCACGAAGATTCTTCAACACATTCAATTGTGTTTTCTACTGAAAATATAACAGCATACAGGTTTGAAATGACAAGAAGATGATTAAATGATGACAGAATTTAACTATCCCTTGAACAGTTCACAAACCTGTGGTGGCGTCCCACTTTGAAGCATTTTTCTTTTTTCACAGCCCTCAGAAGTGTGATTTGAGTTAGTGTTTGCAGCATTTGTTAGAAGTGCAGCAGCTCAAGCGGTATGAATATATTTCTGCCAAGTCAGTCTGGATTAACGAGCGTTGAGGAGAGGGAGGGAAGAACCAGGAAAATAGGAAGGAGCAAAGAATCAGAGGGATGAAGGGATGACAGAGTGCGGGGGAACTTATGGAAATGATTACGGATTTGAAGGGAGAGAGCGTGGTGCTAATGGCTGATCAGGGACTGAGACCGGACTAAAGATAGTACATCATGAAACTGAAGGCTCTCTGTTTCACAAAATTTTTATGTATTTTTCACTGACTACACTTGATTCTCACCCAGTCCTTCAGACTTGACCGACAAGTCAAGAACTTCGAGTGATGTTCACCATTTTGTCACCGTGACAAACACTTGAAGTGGTTCTTCAGTTTCTCATAAATGCTTTAGATCTCATCATGTTAGTGCTATCTACAGTATACTATTATTGTGTTGTTGTTATTGCAGACTTTGCAGTCAAAGGCCTTTTTTGACACTTTTATTGACAGTACATTAGAGACAAAATGAAGGCGAAAAGATGGGGGAATCAGATCAAAACTCACACTGGCCACATGAGCACCATGGCACGTGTCAAAAACCTATACAGTTCTATACAGTTATGTATTCTATACTATACAGTTCTGAAAGGATCATTAGTTTATGGTGGTTAGTGCTGGTTGGAAGTGTTCTATGCTTTGCTAAATACAGTTTAATAACATTAACACTGTTTTTGCATAATTTGCCAAATTTACTGGTTGTAACTGAAATGACACACAATAAAATAATTTTGATAATTGATTTTAACAGGTGTTAAATAAACTTAACACATCACATGTCTCAAATTTCATGTCAAGCCTGTTTCTCACTTACACTGTTGTCTCCTTGGTAACCAAGTAAAATATTTTTTTAAAACAACCCTAATGGCGGCAGTGTAAAATATGAAAAAATTATAAGTAAAGTAAAAATTATAAAAAACATTTATAAAAATCATTGTATTATGCTTCTTTCGTATTATAAATAAAACCCAATACATCTTTAATATTTTTATAATGGATTTGCATAGTTTAAAAGGATTGTTCACCCAAAAACGAAAAACGTCATGCCATTCACCATATTTAATATGAACTATGCACGTGCTGATCAATGTTCATAAAGTGAATAAAAGGCTAAATTAAATCTGTTCATCATATAAAGCAATCATGTCTCTTCAGAACACCTGGATTACTGCATTTTCCAGAAAATAAGTTGCACCTGATCAAAAATGCATCGTTGAGAGAGAGAAAGAGAAAAAAACCAAAAAAACATACATGCACAAATAAAATAAAATACCAGAAAATAAAACAAAATGTTTACAAATATCAAACATTATAAAAATTTATTTTGTTCCCCTCATAAATCCTATACATTTTGTATTATTCAGAACAGGAATGAAAAATATAAGGATAAAAAAAAAAAAAATTATAGTTGCATTCAATATAAACAACATTTACTGTAAATCCCTAGCCTAAATGAATTTATTTAAAACAAAACTGAAACTACCGGAATGTGGAAAAAGCGCTATACAATTAAACTTGGGCTCACATACCTCTCTTATTCAGCACAGATCCAAATGAGTGTGCTGTGCGCATGTTTTGTGTGCTTGACATTATATACATTTATATAATGCTTTGGAATATAATTCGCAACACATTTCAGTTATTTAAAAAAAATCTGACTTGTATCCTGAAAAATATGGTAAACTACTCAACTCATATGGATTATGTTTACCGTGTTTTTTATTAACTTTTTGAAGTGTAAAAGTTTTGGGGTAATGAGCGTTCAGTGGAGGAACAGAATTCTATCAGGTTTCATAAAAATTATCTTCATTTGTGTTATGAAGATGAATGAAACTTTTCTTTCATGTGGGGAGCAGGCGTGGATTAATGGTTAGAGAGTCAGACTTGTAACTCAAAAGTCACAGGTTCGAGTCTCGGGACCGGCAGGGATTGTAGGTGGGGGGAGTGAATGTACAGCGCTCTCTTCCACCTTCAATAGCACGACCCTTGAACAAGGCACAGAACCCCCAACTGGTCCCCGGGTGCTGCAGTGAAAAATGGCTGCCCACTGCTCCAGGTGTGTGTTGTGTTTGTTCACAACTCACTACTTCACTTAACAGTGAATAACTGATGACATTTAAGTTTTTGAGTGAACTAACACTTTAAGATAGAAAGCTTGAGTCTGAGAATACTTTATATTCATTGAATCAAAAGAATTTTAAAAAGCTAAAATCTATTAGTTTTAATAAAAATCAGCTGCTGGGTCAAGAAAAACCCACCTGTCTGAGCATCCACGGAGAAGTGCGGCTGCCCCTGAACCAGCGTGTACACCAGCCGTGCGCTGTTCCCATATGTGGGATCGTCTGCGTCTGAAGCCGTCACCTGGATGATGGAGGTCCCTGAGGAAGAGTTTCAGGGAGTGAGAGGGCAAAAAAGACAAAAAGAGATGATCAATATGGCACATATGAACACAGGTCATCACAGGACAAGCACATTACGCGAAGAGACCCATATAAAGACTGACAGATTCTCCCCCTCTCTCCTCTCACTCTCCCTCCTGCTGCAGTGTGACAAATACAGTATTCACTTTCTCTTCTCCCCACACCTTCTTTCATTCGCGCCTCTGTCTGTCTCACTTCATTTCTCTTCATCTCCTTCTCCAATTCCCCATTTGCTCCCTCTCTCAATCTCTATGCCTGTTTCTGTGGCCACACTCCCCTGTTCCCATAACTCCCTCACGTCTCAAATCTCTCTTTCGCTCCTGACAGATATGGACTTTTTTCCAACCAAATAAATCAAAGAGCTTCATGCGAAGGACCGAAGCGGTTTGAAAAAAACATATATATGTACAATGGGAAAAGAACTACATTTCCCATGGGGCAATGGCTGACAAGCTCAGAGGGACGGGGGGGATTTGTGGGAGCAGCTGTTGCTGTTTTCAGACATCAAAGGCCTGACAGTGTCACCAAGAAAGCTTGTGGGTTGAGGGGAGTGTGCCGTCTGATTACAGATCTTTCGCAGGTAGTTAAGAAGCAGCAAATAGAAGACAGTAGGAGAACGAGAGCGAGAGAGAGATTGTCACTGTAAACGAATGATCAGATAGGCAGATCAAAAAATAGGCTGCCGGGTTGACGCAACATGCAGCGGCTCAGAGAAATCTATTCATATTCAATCTGAGTGGAACTGAAAAAACACGCCACAATTTAGACTGATAACGCATTCACACTGATGGAATATTAGATTTGAATGGCGCTCTGGTTTCGTTTACCTCAGCAAGGGTTCGAGCATTCAGATGCAGCACAGAATATTTCTTGTTTGCACTTGGGATCCTTTGATATTAATTAAACCCATTTCAGGAAAACAAAAAGAGCACTACTGTCTAGGGGTAATATTTTGAGCCCGCCTCAAATGGACGTAAAATTGATAAACGTGAGAGGTTATTTCACATTTAAACACCGCAAATTATAGGGAGCATTTTCCTCAGCTTTTCATCCAATGATTTTTGGGACAGCATGAATCCTGCATTATTCAAAAATCATTGACATTCACCAAGAAAATGTGCTAGCGGGGATGAGCATATGTTGTCTTCCGCTACCTATGTTTGCCATCTCGGGTACTGTGGCGCTGTAGGGTCCTTCCTCGAAGACAGGTGGGTTGTCGTTGATATCCTGCACTCTAATGATGAACTGGGAGGAGGGCTCCAGGGCACGCTCTGTCTGACTGTCTGTTGCTGTGGCAATCAGCCGGTATTCGTCCTTCTCCTCCCGATCCAAGGGCTTGGTTACGTGGATGTTGCCCGTCTTCTCGTCAATCACAAACACTGACCCCGCCCCCTCACCCCGCAGCACGTACTTAGTGCGTCCATCACCTCTGTCCATGTCAGTGTGAAGCTGATGAAGAGAAAAAGAGAGGGAAAGGTTGAGACAGAACGATTACAAGAGACTGAAGGGTTAAGAAAGACTAGTATATATGCTGGGTAGATTGTAATCTGTTACTGATTCCAAATTACATAACAAAAATTGTAGCTAGTAACATAATCCATTACATTACACATTTTAGGTAATATAATCCACTTTTTGATTACTTTTAGATTACTTGTGACCCAACTCATCTATCACATTGATTGATAGATTGATATAAAAATACAAAGAGAATAAAAATATATTCCATTTGTTGTTATTAAGAACATTACGTCAAGTTTTTTTTTTAACTGTGGTTCATGAAGTAAACTGCAGGGGGGTTGTGAGTTTAATGAAAAGCTAATAATTAATTAAATTATACACATTTTAAAGTAAAATCAATCATTTTAAAATAACAACAATCAAAATGAAACGCTTACTAAAAAAAGATGAAATATTTCATTTGTTTACCTGCATGTCATGTGACCATTTACCAACATCAGAGAACCGTGAACATGCAAATGTGTAATTAACTTATAATTAACTCTCAGAGGGTACTTCAAGTAAATATATTAGATGAAAGAGGTTCAGCTGACAAAAAAGTTTGGGAATCCCTGTATCACACAAAAAAGAAATAACATGAATTTGTGCATTTAAATGTGTTTTAAAGACAAAAGACTTCCAAAGACAAAGACTTGTGTGAATAATATGTAATCCAGATTACATGCAATCAGTTACTACCCAGCACAGAGGTCAAAACACCATCAACTTTATGTGCATAAAGCAAAAACGGTAAAACAAAAGATTAATCTTAAAATATAGACTCCACTTTGACAGATGAGGACTTCAGGGGCTCATTGGCAGACAGTACAGATGGGCGGTAATGATCACACAGCCTTGTGTGAAACGCTCGTACTCTGGGCACTGATTGAGGGTGGAGTCTGGTTACCAGATCAGCGGCAGTCTACGGCTAAGGAGCCTTCATGCAGTGAGCAAAGCCTGGGCTGCATAGGGAGCGCATGACGCTCAGAGGGAAGAGTGTGGAGAAAGCATCAGCATTCATCCTCATTACTGCTTCTACGTGGCCAGAATACAGCTGCTTAAAAAGACCCCATAACAGCACAACTTCAACAAAAAGTGCCACACAGCAAGTTTGGAAGACAAATGGGAGCGTGTCCTATGCGTGTCCTATGCATTAGAGTGTGGAAAGAGTTGAGTGTGTTCCAATCAAAATGGAGATTTTTTTGGAATCAGAATATTCAATGGCTTTTCTAGATTGAATTTTGAGACAAAACATGTGGTTGTGTAGATGTAAATCCCCAAAGAATGTCCTGACACTCGGTGGGCAGTGATGAGGAAAACTCTAAGAAAGCACATTCTGCTCAGTGATACACATTCTTGTGTACGATAGCCAGGCGCAATGCAACAAGTTGGCAAACGATAAAACAGTTTTTCCATGTCAAGAGGTGCTCACATTGAGGTTTCCAGGTCACTGTACTGTTGGTTGCAAGTAGGCGTTCCTCCTCAGATAGCAGTATCACACAGCTTTTCTCAGCATGTTCATATGTAGTTTAAAAGTTCAACTGCAGTCAAAGTAAAGCAATAACTTTAACATGTCATGTAAACGCTTTACACAGAGTGAAATTGTACTAGTTTGATTTTTGGACCAACAGATCAAGAATATGTGATTGTAGCTTTGCCTTATGCAGCATGTATTTTAATCAATATTCATAATAAATATCAATATTCTCAATAATATAAAAAAAACGTTATTATATTTTATTATTATTAATATTATAATTATAAAATTATATTAATCTGTATTTATATTTATTAATATAATTACTAATCAGCTTTTCTTGAGGCCAATAAGAAAATAAATAAATAAATATTTGCTTTCATAAATAAATAGTCTTTACATTAATATAGCTTTTTACTGAATAGTTTCGCTCAAAGCATTTTGAATGAGTGGAGTGGATCTACACAATCAGCATCTACCTGGATAATGCAACAGCAGCCTTATTGTGCCAGAACTCCCACCACACACCAGTTATCAGTGGAGAGGCGACAGTGTGAAGTAGCCAATTATATGGATGATTAGGAGGCCATGATGGAGTGACGAGGGCGCACGGGTTACATATCTATCTTTTGAAAAAGCACCCTGAGATTTTTAATGACCACCAGCAGTCAAAACCTTGGTGTAGTCCCTGTTTATACCTGGTATTAAATCCGTTTTGGGTTATCTGATGACAACTGGTCAGCTGAGACAAGTCACTACAGGGTCTTTGATTTCAGGGCTACACTTAGTAAGTCAAGATGATTCTACATGTTAACAAGTGCAAAAAGGCACAAGAAGTCATCACATTATTGCTTATTGCACATTATACTAAATATACTTTATATATACAAATCTACTGCAAACATGCTGTTTTGAATAAAATGCTCCTTGTTATTTGAGCTCCTATATAAAGTTTTTTTTTTTTTGATGAACTTCAGATGATCTGCATCATGCTGATGTAAATCAAAGACATTCCACATCTATTTACTAATACTAATATACAGACATTTTTGGGGAAACCAATTTTTTCAGGATTCTTTGATGAATAGAAATTTCCAAAGAACAGCAATTATTTTAAACAGAAATCATTTTCTAACATTATGTCATTACTCTCACTTTTCATTATCAATTTAATGCATCCTTGCTGAATAAAAGTATTTATTTCTTTAATTACTGGCCCCAGTCTTTTGAATGGTAGTATACATGTAAATGTTTGTTGTAACCCTCTATGAATACAAATGAGATCAGGCAGGTAAATATGTGCTATTTGCTAAGTCACAAAACGTTTTGGACCCCACACCTGTATTTAGCACTGACCATTTGTGATCAGATCGCTCGAAATGGATGTTAATACCAGGTGTTAGTCAGTACCTCAGCTTCAGTTGGTAGTCAGTCGAGGGAACTACGTGTCTTCCAGTCCAGGTGTCGAGTGTTGTAGCTAGTGAGAGCAGGCAGCCATGAAGCCGTTGCTGTGTTGTGGCTTTGGAATTCCTGATTCCATCCCTTAATTCCGCCTTGAGCTCTCGGTCAGTCAAGTCTGCCAGCAGTTTGCCGTTCCAAGCCTGGGGTTCTTAACGAAGGGCCTTAATGACCTGCCTTAACGACAGGACTTAACGAGGCCCTTAATGAAGCTGCCGCTATCGTTAAGGCTGACGATGGCGGGATGATGAAAGACGCAGAGAATCCCCTCTGTGTAGTCATGGAGAATGAGAGGAGCGTGTCCTTTTGTCCCTGGCATTGACCTGATCGACGTGACCTCCGCCCACACTCCTTGTGATTTACACATCCAATAACACTGATGTAGTGACACAGCTCAAAACAAACACACACAAGGACTCAAGGACAGACACACAGCGTGATGCACAACTGCACACACACTCTGCCAAGCGGATGCCTGACCACATTAGAGAAGAAAAAAAACAAGCATGAATTTAAACAGTCGCACCATTATTGGCCCTACCGAGATTAGAATATCGGTACTAAATGAGGTCTAATATCTACACAGCTGAACCTGGCTGACACCTTAATAAAGGATTTATCAGAGAGGCAGTTGATTTTGAAAACAAGACATTTTGAAAAGCAACTGAATTATACATGAAATTGCATCAAAAAGGTCTAATGTATGCACTGACATCCAGCTGACCATAATATGCATTCAAATTAGTCATCTAAATTCCTGCCAGACATCCTGTTTCAAGGACAGATTCTCGGCTTCCTTTGTATACATGGGCATTATCATTAGGCCTCTAAATCAACTAAATTACTCATATTATAAAGTAATGTTCTTATACTCATATAGTCAATTTCATATTTTTGCAATAACCATAAATCATGAACTGTGGGAAAAAATATTCAGTGTCAACCTCTAAATCACTTAAATAACTTATTCGGGTATACTCAATTTCACATTCCTGCAGCACAATAAATCATAAAACATTGAGAGAGGGGAAAAAAATGCATTTTGCATCTGTGCATTAACCTAATGAATGTGTTTTCCTGGGTAGATTTATTTAGCGCCCCGCGAGTTGGGAGAAACAGTGTTTGAGAAAATGGCACTTCAGCCATCATGTGAAATGGGTTTTGACTGCTCTAAACAGCAATGCGGTGGCCTGGATAGCGAGAGGCCATCTACACACATAACCATTACAGAAACACACACTCCGATACACACAGATCTCAGCGTGTTATGAGTTTCAATCCCCCTTTGCCACCAGGGAATCTTATCAAAGGCTTTAAGGCTGATGGGAGAGAATCTCCGGCTCCTTCACGTCTGAGTGAGGAAGATGAAGCTTGCGCGCTTCTCCTCAGAGGAGCTCAGCAACACATGACTCACTAACGACATTGAGATGCGTTACTTTAAAAGTGATGCATTACTTTACTCTTAATACAAGTAACTAATTCTGTCAATTGGTTCATCCAACAGTAGAGTTTTTTTCTTCATTATCATCATTATTATGATTATTATTATAAGGTGGTACTTTTGCTTTGTCCGATTTAACTATGCGACAAACCTGTATAGATATCATGCTAAACATCTCATGACTAAAACGGGGTTATGTCCCAGTCCTGTTCTCTATATTTTCCATATTGTCTATATTGTCACCTTTCTTGTCAAATAAATGAAAATAAAACAAGAAAATAAATAACTAGCATGAAATCAATAAATATTTATTTGTAATATTTTATTTCTTTATTGGCTTTTAAACAGATGCAAAATACATCTTTACCCACTCCCACAATGTTAACAATTAAAATATATGTCAATTTTACATTAAATTTTGTATAGTTAATCTAAAAAAAATAAACATACATATATATATATATATATATATAGACCAACATATAAAAACAATAGAGCTGTCAAATCGATTAATCGCATCCAAAATAAAAGTTTATGTTTGCATGATATTTGTGTGTACTGTGTATATTTATA